CCCCGCGGCTGCTGCCCGCCGGGTGGAAATGGCACAGCTCGGTGAGGAGCCGCTGGCGGCGGACAAGACGCATCATGCTTTGGCTTCTTTTTTGCTTGTTTTGTGTTTCTAATAAGAGTTAATATCTTTACTTTTGAAATTTATTTTCTTTCAACCTTAAATATTACATACATACACCAAAAATTACATACCTGCAATGCGCTCAACAGCGTCTCTTAACCTGGAGCTTCACATTATCAAAAGCTTAGAAAACGTGTAAACCTCTGGGCCCGTCTGCGAGGGAGACCCCACGCCCGCCACCTCTCCCCAGACTGAGCCTGCGGAGTCTGTAAGCGAAGGGCTGACAGTGCCGCCTCCTCACGGGAGAGAGGTGCTCCGTGTACGAGCTACAGGCCACCTCCCCGCGTGAGCATTTGGTAGTGGGAGAGGCAGAGTCCGTGGGAGAGGCCCCAGCGCGGCCCAGGCCCTGGGTGTGCTGCTCCTCCCGCCCCTGGGGTCCCGGGACAGGACTGAGCCGGGAGCGGACATTGGCTTCAGTTCAAGCAGGCGAGGCCGTGAAGCCAGAACTGCCCCCAGCCACGTGGGCAGGAAGAGCAAGGCACCTACAGCTGTTTCTTTCCCAGCAGCTCCCAGTCCTCACTGCGTGTTAGCATGTGAGGCCACCACCTCGCCTGGGTGTCACCCTGAGCCCCCGCCTGGCCTCTTAGGAGCAAGTTCAACAGGCCTGAGGACTGTCCTGTGGTACAAGGGCCACAGGCCTGAGGACTGTCCTGTGGTACAAGGGCCAGAACAGAGCCAGGCGTCAGTGACAGTGGCTACAACGCCCAGGGGAGAGAGTGGTGCTGGGGGCCGGGGGGACCTAGAGGCAGTGGCCTGGGACATGGGGAAGCTACAATGGCACTGAAGATGGAAGGGACGGGGAGATTGCCGGAGCAACCCACTTCATGCAAGGCACGGCCGCTCGTCCTGCTGCTCTGCAAAGCTCTGGGCCCCGGAGCCCGGCCCGGAAAACTCCACCTCGACCCGAGAGGGAGACGGCAAGGGGACGGGTGCCGACATCCCGCCTGGGGTGAGAGTGGAAAGTCAGCAACAGGGTCCAGATGCGTGGCACAGGGCTCGCCTGTTGGAAGATCGCTTCTGAGCAGAAATGGCAGCATCTCAAGAAATTCCTTGCACGTCAGCATCAAACTCACCCGGGGGGCGAGGAGGGGGGGCGGGGGACAGGAGACAGGAGAGAGCGGGAAGCGGGGAGGGCCTGGAGGAGGGAGTGAGCAGGTGCTGGCCTCTCCCACCACGATCCTCCTTCCTGGGGCTGGCGTTACTTGTCCTCTGTGCTCTCAGGCATGCCTGCCTCGATCAGAGCGGCCCGGAATTGGGCCAGGACGCCCCGGATGCTCTTGATGAACCCCTTGGAAAGCGGGAAGAGGGGAAAGCCGATGTCAGGGTAGCCGCTCTTCTCAGGCAAGAAGCTCCGGTAGCTCTTTCTCCGCTTCTTTGGTTTGACACTGGGGGGCACTGAGGCGTCCGGCGCTGCCTCCGAGGCCTGGTCTGTGTGGTCCCTGCTGG